ACATATTTTAAAGGGGCATTTTGTTGGCTGAAGATTTTGATGATATTATTATAAGCAAATTGGACGTTTCGATTGGAATAAAGCAAGATGTCATGTTTCGAAATGGTAGAATCAGTGCTTCGAATGGGCATATCAAAGTTTGGGGTTTCGATTAACAGTTATGAGAATATATTCAAAGAAGTCTCGAAATGCTAACAAAGGTTGTGTCCAAGAAATGTGCTCGAAGCGAAGGAGTGCCAAAGCATTTGAAATTCAAATGCAAGCGGGATGTTAGAAATTTGAAATATATGCGCTGGAGCATTCGAAGACGCGTGGAAGCAAGAGAGAGGCATTACTCTGCATGTTCTGAACGTGGCAGAATCTTATAGCAAGACCGTTATGGTCGAAGTAGTATAAATAGAAGTCTTAGCATTAGGATTTCGTGTGTCATATCTATTGTACAAAAAACTCAGTAAACATTCAAAATACCACATGGCTAGGGAAACGAATGCACGAGCAATGTACGTATGATAACACCAAATGTTTATAATTTAATGAAAACTCTTTATTATTTCCAGTACTTTCCTTTACGTTCATGTCAATACCATTCAAAAGCTTTTGCATTTAAAATGTTTTCATTCGAAGTCTTTCTACTGATGCCTTACATTTAAATACTTTCTTTCCATTTCAAATACTTTACATTTCAGAAACTGTTGTACATTTCATGCCTTTATCTTCAAGCTTTTATCGTTCGAATACCTTTTTCACTTAAAGTCATTTTACTGTTTTCTTGCATTTAAGCGCTTTCTTCATATTTCGAATCTTTTACATTCCAGAGAATCCTTTACATTAACTATTTTTATGCTTAGAAGTCATTTACTTGTCTTTTATGCAGTTTTTACATGTCTTTACAATTGAAGTTTATTCATGCAATTTGGTTTCGCGCATATTTACTTGATCACACCTTTAGATCTTTAATAGAGAAATCGAAATAAGTTAAACACCTACACAACATTCTAAATACCAACCATGAATACCAGTTCTATCATGAGAGTCACCCTAATGACCAACACGTCCTAGGATCAATCTAGTCGATCCTGTGAGTTACCAGAGAGATTGAATAACAGTCAGTAAGATTATTCGATAGTTTGGAGGACTAGCGGTTGTTTACCAGAAATCAGTGTAAACACTAATATACATAAATGTTAATTTTTCCTAGTTTTGACATCATGCAAAACATATACTAGTGAGGTTGTACTCATACTAATAAGGGAAGAGTAGCTATTGTGGTTTCTTGTTTAATGCAACTATTAAGAAGGAGCATGATAGTTTATCATGATGCATGTGTTAGAGGAAACTGTTGTTGCTGCTCTAATGAGATGTGAGCAAATTATGTCAAACAAAGCTTATCTGAAATTTTGCATGATGAAGAAAATCCATATGTGAGGCTTATTTTTCTTCTGCTACATGTGCCTCTGATGTATGAACTTGGGTAATTCAGATTTGTTTGGTGTTATGGATTTTCTGGGGATTTGTGTTTTCCTCGTGAGGGGGAGAAATGATTGTATAAAACAGGGGGAGTTATGGTCCTATTTTTGTAATTGCGTGAAGTCTCTGATACATTTTTACAATTGCATTTTATATCTCAAGGTTTATCATGCTTTGGTTGTTTTAGTCAAAATTTGTCAAAGGAGGGAGATTGTTAGTTCCATGATTTTATGATTGGCTAAATTTTGGTAAAACATGGTTTTATACTGTTGTTGAGCAAGATATTAAAACATCTTCATCAATTGTCATAACAGTTATACTGTTATGTGTTTTCAGCAAGATGTCAAAAACATATGTCATGACATTTTGGACTGTGTGCAGTAAGCGTTGTTGCTGTGTATTTTCTTGACAGATTTGATTTGATTTTCTGATATTTCTTTTGGATATATCTCAATTATTTTCGTATGTCAAGAAGATGTAATCTGGAACAAGTGAATCATATCTCCAACATCATTAAAGTTTCTAAAATTGGATGTTAAGACAATTTAAGAAACTTGAATATTTGTTCTAAGATTTAAGGTGATATTTTCCGCAGCAATCAACGTATGGACCAAGGAATAGTTTGGCACCGAATTTAAAGCCCATGGACAACTGAAGTCTATAAAAAGGAAGACCTGGACTAATGTAATTTAACTTTCACAATTATAAAATTAGGGGAAGTCTAAGTCTTAGGTTTTGAGAGTCTCTCGTGTTATTGTGTTTGTAATTCACCCTTGTATCTTTTGATACTTGTGGTAGACATGGTGTTCTCACTTAGAAGCCTTTAGGTAATGAGTTGAGTATTGTTCTTGGTTGAAGCTTTTAAGAAACACCAAGTATTGTTCTTAGTTAAGAGTCTTAACTAAGTATTATTGATTTGAAGTGTAATCTTCTATTGGGTTTTCTTTTATACCATCACTGTGATTGTGATTGGTTTATAAATTGTCACTGAGATTGGGGAAGGTCTTTATCACTGAGGTGATTGAAAGTGAGATGGAATTTCTCATATCTAGATGGTGATTTATAGGTAGAAGTTGCACAGATAGTGATTAGGAGAGAAGTTGTAAGCTTGGGATGTTTAGGCTTTGAACTAATACTATTATAGTGGATTTCCTCCCTGGTTTTGTAGTCCCCGGATGTAGGTGATATTGCTTGGTAGCCTCCAGATGTAGGTGATGTTGCACCGAACTGGGTTAACAATTGATTGTGTTCTTTATCATTCTGCATATTATTCCAGTTTGATATTGTTGTTCAGTCTGTCCACAGATGTCGTAACATCTATCATGACATGATGTTCTGATATTGGAAACATCAGTATGAACATGTGTGTACTAGTGCCAGAATTTTAATATAACTTAGTGAACCAGTTTTTATTACCAGTCATGTGGTTAATGCATCCTGAATCCAGGTACCACATGTTGGTTTGCTTAGTGTTCGGCTGAGTGTTGGCTCTGAGTATCACATCATCATAATCAACATCTCAAGCATGTGCATACTGTACTTCATCATTATCTTTCGCTTGTGCTTCATTCTTTCTTCGATAGTCTCGAGCATAATGGTCGAATCCTTGACAGTTGTAACAATGCACCTCCTTCAGAGTGATTATTTGAGTTCTTATTTGATTTCTCATATTTCTTGGTGAATCTTGCTTACAATGTCTGTTCAGCCACCTTCTTTCTTTATGAGTTTCTTTGCTTCAGCCTCATCTCACGAGCCTCCATTGAAGCTTGAAGTTCTTTCGACTTCATCTCAACTAGGTTCTTGAACTTATACATGACACCCCTCTTATGTATCTTTTTTACTATTATATCCTTGTGAATAATTATCAAATTTTAAAAAATTAGTTTTACCATAAACTTTGGGGGTGTATCAGAAATTTCAAAAAAATTCCAGAAAAAAATTTCGAAATAATCCGATACTTCACTTTTCGGAAAAAAAAAACAAAAAAAATACACTACTGGAAATTTCAATATATTTTGAAATTTCCAAAAAAAAAGAAATTTAAAAAAAAACAGAAAATTTTGTTCTTATACAAGTCTAATTTATTCAGAAACATTTTTAAAATAAAATAAATTAGAAAGTGTGATATATAATTTAAGAGGTGTGATATTAAATCGTCATATAACACGGTATATTAAAGTGTCTGGATTTCCTCTAGAATTTCATCTAGATTGTACTTGATCAACTAAGATTAGGCCTAATTCAATTTTTGTTCTAAAATTTAACACTTGCATGTTATATCGATTGCCTTAATAATTATAAACTCCAATATTGAATAATAGATATGCTCTTTGAAAATGATGGTGAATAAAGAAACAAATTTTTTAACGTGGTTAATCTCTATGAATATAAAAATTGCTTTATTCGACACAACTCTCTTACTTTTTGTATATTTAACTTTTGTAGAACAGAGAATTTTTGTCTAAATTATAATATTTATTATTTGAATCTCATGTTAGAATATTAAAACAAACATCATTTGTGTGCATCCCCATTAATTTCATTTCCTAGATATGTATCAGGGGGTTTTAAAAAGTAAAATAAATTATTTCGAAACTTAGAGGAAACATATCCGCCAAGTATATTTATCCAATAAGGATAGATCTCCAATTTTTTAGTACCAGGGCTTCATAGTAGTTCAATATGAGGAGATTATGTGGGAAAACCTCACCATTTAAACTGATAAAACCCCTTAATTTATTAAATACACAAGTGAATTTTTAAAATGAGATCCCTCACATAACTCCTTAATGTTGAATTCCAACAGAAAAAAAAAATGATATAAATGTGATGAACACTTTGTGCCTTCGTCTCCAGTAATATTTCAGAGATAAGAAATATCTTTCTAAGACCAAAAAATGGACTTTTAGAGGAAATTACATAGCATTATCAATATACTTGAAAGTCAACACATGATATCTGTGTCCATGTCGGGAAAGAAGTTCCAGTTACATGTGGTTGATAGTTATTCCAGACAAACTATTTAAAAGAGAATAGAAGCAATATCTAACTATGCACGTGAGCAGCAGCAATTACAGGCTGCACTACAAATCAGACATTTTTTCACTATAATATACATGTCTGGTCACTAGGAACTTGGTAAGTCTATCACGATTCAAACTCGGTCCTGTCAACAACAAAAAAGGAAATCGTTCCCCATACATCAGATCATCTCAACCCCGGGTTATTCAACCCGTACGCAACCTCAATGAAAGATCATTAGTATAATGTCCATTAGATTTTGCAAAAGTGGCATGATATATTTCAGTAACTGCTAGAATGGAGCAATTGGCAGTACATTTGCCGAGTTGCATTAGTTTCAGCACGCTATTACCATCACCTTGCCTGTAGGGAAAAGATACTAATTTCAGGAACTGATACAAATTATTTCAAATCTACTTTATGCCATTTGTATTGATTTAATCGTCATTAAGAACAAAATGATTAAGGAATCGGAGAAAAAACTAACCCCCCAATAGAGAGAACAGAATCATTTATTTCTGCTCCCACTTTCTGCTTCTGGAATCTGGCCTATACATGAACATTCAATCTCTTTTAAAAACTAATTTAGGGCTAAGACACTAACAATAAAGAGATTAATCATTACCTCAATCGCATCAGATATTGAACCACATAGCAAGGTACTTCTATGATTTTTCAGTCATGGGAATTTCTAAAATGAAAAAATTAAAATTCTAACAAGAGGTCTCAAAAACAAAATAGTGGGCTGCTGTATATTGTAATGATGCAATATATTGAGCGTGTTGGATAATTTCTCTCCAGTAATGACAAGGTGAAAGAACACAGGGAAATTGCAAACTGAAATGCATCATTCTGTATCGGAAAAAACAGCAGATAGATACAATGATGATACCGATTTCTACAAGCATACAAATGATGAAACCATACTTTTCACCATTTTCTTCCATGGTGACTAGAATCGCTTCTTGATTCAGATATAAGGCGATGCATGACAACAAGGTTCCAACTTGACTTTCTTAATTTCATGAATATGATGATGCTAAAAAGTAATCTGGGTAAGACAAATTGCTACAAACTGTAATTCATTATAGATATCGTGTATACACTAGATGGTTAGCTGAATCTGTATGTTCATCACACGATGCAAACAAATTCTTTGTTCATGAGGACATGTGAGTATGACAAACAAGGTCTCTTTCGATGTAATGCGAGAAAGCAATAGATGGGTTAATGGTATCTTTCATTGTAAATCCATTTGAATTAAATATCAGTCAGCCATGCCAAATGAGGCTTATCAAAATGACTTTAAAATTGTAAAAAATTCAGAAAAGAAAGCCTAACCTTTTATGTTACCAAGAGTAATGAGTCCACCAAGAACATCCCTGAACTTGGTCAGGATAAGCCTTTCCTGCTCTGCATAAGTATCTGTGCATCCATCCGAATTGGAAGACTTCTGATTCATGTTATGTTCAGTGTTGCCAATTGCAACTCCATTTGCAGAAACATTATCGAAAAACATCACATCTTGTTCATCACACATCAATTCAAGTGTTTCCGGTGACAATGGCATCTTTCGAATGTCAATATCAACTGCATCTGGTACATCTTTATTTGCATGATTCTCACAGTCAGGCGTGACAACTTCTCGACTGTCTTGCAACGATTGAGCCGATGAAGCAGTAGAAGCTTCAGATTTCCTGGTCTCTATTTTTCTAACTTCTTTCCCTCTCATTTCTGTAAAATGTCAATCGATCTCATACATCGTGTGAGAAAGTAAGGGATAGGTGAAAAGCTAAAGAATAGCAAAGAAAGACAAATATATTCTTAGTGTAAAAAAATATTGAAATATAAATGTCCTAGAAGGCATAAAATTTGGAAAACTCACAAATGAAAACAAAAATATTCTCAATCATTCACCACAAAGTAGATAAATTAAATTGTTATAAGATAAGATGGATATCCATGTGTTAGTCAAAACCTGCATTTTTCTTTGTAGCTTCTCCAGAGAGAACAACTAAAAGTGAACAAAGATTCTTCACATTCTGTGTCTGGAGGACATCAGCCAAAACAGACCTTCAGCAGAAAATATTGTCAATTACAATTTCTTTATATTCATACTTCAAGCATAATATAAATTCATCACCTAATGATTTGAAAAAAATCACATACCTGTATGTAGATATTGAAGATCCTGGAATTATTGTATTGGCGGTGTCAGAAACAAAGGAAGCGAGCGGAGATAAAGGAGATGAAGCTGTGGGATCAAATTCCTGATTAAAGTTCAAGATAACGTAAAAATTATTAGTTGCAATTGGATGCAAGAACATGGAGGAAACTGATCAATAAATTAATAGGGGAAGTGACAAGAAATTGATGGCTCCAAGCGATAAAAATAGAATTGAGAAGTTGATATATTTGGTCTGCAGTGACTATTTATATGAATGTTATTACCTTATTAGTTTCACATGCTTTCAAATCCAAACACGCTGAATTTGAATGGTGACCCTACACCAGAAATAATAACTAAATGGTTATGAAACAAACCCAAGTAAATCCTATCAATAATGCAAAGAAAGCACCTGTTGGTATTGAGCCGTCATGTCAAAAGTTTGATCTATGAATGATTTGCCAGAAAATATTTCTGGGATTTTTCTCTTTTTGGGTGTTATATGGGTTACAGAGCTGGAGGGTCCAACTGCTCCACTAATGGCCGCATTAGTTGCCTGTCTGATTTGTACTAGTCTATACTCTTCTTGGAAAACTGCTCTTCGTTCGTCACTTCCTTCAAAATTCTTGCAGTCCATGCATTTACAATTTTCAGAGCAGAGGATATTGGCTTGAAAACACTCACAATACTTCTTAAGGCAACCAGATTTCTTGCAGTGACATCCTTTATTGTGCTTTCCTGTAACTTGAGTTTCAGACACTTCCTCCTGAGTTTGTTCAAGACATTTAAATGTACCACAAGTAAACTAAAATATTACTAACTAAATCCAGAAGTTATTAAAATCACAAAATTTTAGCTTAAAGACTGATGCCAAAAACCAACTATAAATATTTGAGGGAGTTGAGTTGAATTACTAACCATAGAAACTTCTGGTTTTAGTGGACTGCTTGCAATTTTAGGTCTGAAAGCATTTAGATTTCTTTCCAGAGTTATTCCAACTGCCTCCTGTCGGGCAGCCTCATTGTCCACATTATTATGACAATTCAGACAGTTGCAACCATCACAATAGATCCCAGCTGCAAAGCACTCACAGTACCTTGTAGTTGCAAAATTAGCTATTGTTAGTTGAAGAAAGCACAAAAAAGCATGCAAGATGTTCAGATATACTCTTGATGGAAGTTTTTCATACAGAGAAGATAAAGTACTTACAATTTAAGGCATCGAGAATTCTTGCAGTTACAGTGTTTTTGTTTCTTTGGAGTATTGTCCTTTAATCCTGCATTATGTTGAGGCTGTGATCTAGAAGACTCGTGCTTTCTGAAGGAAAATAAATGCATTCAAACACAACAAAATGAAAATTAGTACAAAAGTTCTAGCTGTGAAACGAAATTCAATCAGAGTGAGAAGATAAAACAGTCTTTTTGATAGGACTCTCTAAATGGACAGATGAAATTATTATGTTTTTATTAACAAGTTTAGTCCAATTTCCTTTCATGAAAACTAATGGCAGCTGTCTAGTCTATTTGGTAATTGCCTAGTTTAGTGGAAAATTTATAACTTTTTTTCCCAAAAGTGCAAGCATGACTGTTTTCACTATTTAGCCACACAAGTTAGATTATTATAACCGACCTCAGAATGATCGCATGCAGATACAACAAACCAAGTTAGATTATTAGTGAAATGAACTATTGACTACAATTTGTAGAAATTCAGGCTTTCATCCCTAATGCTCTTTACACTAGTACTTATGCAACCATCCTACCATTAAAAAATCTCCAAGAATCATGCTTTTCGCACATCTAATCAAATTACAGACAAGAACCCTTGTCTTCAATTAGAGGCTAACTTCCAGTAAAAGCCTTTTGTTTCTTATACAATCTCAAGTATGAAGCACGGACACACCGAATACGACCATGACATTGACACGGCAACACTCATAAAAAAAATTTAAAAATGAATAAATTATACATAATCACAAGTGTTGGTGCAGATGACTGACACTGACCCTGACACGTGACCCTGACACGTCTTTTTTCAGAGGTGTCAATGTTAGATAGATTATTCTCAACCCATACTAAAACTCCAAACATACATCACTAATACATCCAATTCAACGTTCTAACTAAATATCGCTACACTTTAGCATCCAAAAGTTGCTTATCATTAAACGCAACACATTCAGAATGAAAAAACAAAACGTTATTTCATTCACCTTTTCACCAGAAGTTTCTGTGAGGGATGTTGTAAACGACGGACCGGCGAAACTAACTGAGGCCGCGGAGATTGTAAGTATGACATCACCGGCGGAGACTGTGACGTCCTCTGCTGTTGCCACCGTGGCTGTGAAGGTATCCACCGCCGTTGACTTAATGACTGAAAATCCAATGTCAATTGCGCCGGAGAACACGACTGCGTCGGCAACTGTAGAATATTTTGCGGCCGTGGCATCGGTGGCGACAATGTCAAGTACGCCGGACCTCCACGTACGGCAGTGAAATCCAAGTGCCTCACGAATCTCCGAGCAGCTAAATCCAGCGTCGTCTCGCTCTTCTCCATTAATGGTTCTTCTTAATCCTTAAAAAAATAAGAAAAAAGATCAACGCTAAACAGATATCGATCTCGTTAAGCTTTGATTTCAAATCACAATGTGTGAATCTTAAAAACTCGCCGTTTCGAATTGAGTTTCCAAAAAAAAAAATTTACCGTCCGTTACGGATTGTGATTCTTGAAGCAAAGAATCGACGGCGATTGTGAGAGAAAACTATGGTAAGCGGTGAGGAAAAACATGCAAAGAAGAAAAGGATTGACGGTGGAGACGATCACCGGAGAATTTGTTGCGGTGAAGACTCCGCCGTGGGAGTGGGAGTGAGAGTGGTTAGTGTTACTAGTTTCTCTCTCTCTCTCTCTCTTATTCGCTTTTGAGATTTTGAAATTTTAATTTATTTAAGTTGAAACTTGAAAGGTTTAATTTAACGGCTGAAATTTGCTGGAGGAGTTTTAAGTGTTTTGTGTCCGTTGATTAGGGTAGATTGCACCGGTACTGTTCGGGGAAGTAACGGAGATATATTTTGGCGCTAATTTAATAAAAGGATATGGGGATTTGAGCCTACAACAAGTGAACATGTGTGTAGTGAATTTTTTAATACATTTAAAATTTAAAAATATCGGATGAAATATGTTTTTGGTTCTTATAAATATCTTAAATTTTATTTTTAGTTATTATTAAAATAATGATATATTTTAGTTTCTACAAAATTATCCACATAATTTTAATTCATTTTGTTAAATCAATGTGTATTTTTAAATGATTATTTTGTAAATATGTTAAAAACGTTATAAAAAAAATTTTAAAAAAAAAAAATTCAAAATTTGATTTCTCAGTCGAGATTTTCATTATTTTTATAAAGATCTTTTGAAATTTAAAAAAATCATATTTAATTCTTCTAATTTAAAAAAATCCTAAAATTTAATAAAAAAATATTTTATAATATTCTAAACACATATGAAAAATATTGTTTAAAAATTTAGAGATAATTAAACAGTTTTTAAAATTTTAGAAAATAGCATGGATTAAATCTGAATAAATAAAAAAAATTTAAGGACCAAAATTTATCATTTTTAATAGGGATTAAAAATGAAATTTGAGATATTTATAAATATCAAAAATATATTTAACCCAAAAATATTTATTAGTTACATTAAGTTGTCGAAGAATTAATCTGGACTGGACTGACACTTATCTACCATTTAGACAAGGTTCAGTCTAATATCATTATAGATCCAATAATTTCTTACGGTCCAACTTGGACCTGCTCCCTAGTCGGGCAAGCCAACGCTATTATCATAGCTGGGGAACACCTTCCACGCATGTCCTACGAGGACTTGCTCCTTAACACGTGTTTGCTGGGAGCATCTCTTAAGTATGCCCGTCGTGGACCTATTCCTCAGCACGCGCACGACGAGCATCTCTTGAGTGTGCCCGTCGGAGACCTGCCCATCAGCGCGAACATGCACGCTAATGGTACGCAGCCAACGTGTCTCTGACTATCACGAAGTCATCCTGCTTCCGAAAAGAACGGGTCTTCACCTTTCGAGAATCGCAGAGCAATTGAACCAGAATAGAGACTATGAACTGGTCTCCGCTACCACGTAGGATCCTGGCAATATCTATTTTGGCATGGGCATCCAGCCCAAATAAAAACCTTGGCCCAACATTGGGGGCTATAAATACCCTCTCTCACTAGAGGGTCGGGTACTTCATTCTTCACACTTTCATTACTTGCATTCTGCTCTGAACCTTACTTTGTCCCCAGAGTGTCTTGCAGGTACCTCATTCCCCACTTCACCTTTACCATAGTTCAGTCCAAATTTGTGGGCTACCGATGATCTCTTCTGATCAGGTACGATCAGAGGCGACGTCTGTGGGAAACAATTTCGTCATATTTCATTAACTTAAGACCGAAGCAACTTTCAAACTTCCAATCGTTTTGGCTGACCAGATAAACAATGGTGACGAGAACGTTCACTTCGTCGATATCAACAACAACAACAACGGTGATCACGAACACGACATCAAGGACGGAAGGATCGCTTCCTCCTTCACCCGCCCGTATCCGCTCGACAATCCTCACCCGCACGTCGACGTACCTGTAATGTACCAGGAGATCCAGGTGCCTGCCAATGCTGATCCTACAATCCAACCCTGTTCGCAACGATTAATCAAACCAATTACATGATCTTTTTGCAGGGTGAACGCTTGGGAATGCTGGAGAAGACCCATCGGTCCCCTAGAAGACACAAAAGACCCGACTCATGTACCCCGACTCCACGACGACGTGAGGCCCGTTCACGATCTCCTACACGGAGACACCAACGGGAGGATTCTCGCAACTCCTCTCCTCATCGTAGTGGGTGAGGCCCGTGATTGGAGATGGCACATCTTGAGATTGTCAAGAAGCGAGACCGGACCCTGTCACGGAGGGAACATCGACCCCCTGCTCCTGAGAGGAGCAAGGGGAAAGAGTACCCCGAGAAGACAAGGACTCGACCACGGGAGTCCTGACGGAGAGGTCCCCATTTCGACTCCTCCTCATCCCGATCTCCAGACATAAGCGATGAAGATGACCCCCGCGGTCCACTGTCTTAGGAAAATATGGAGGCCCCTATTCCCAAGGGGATGGAAAAACCTCCCCCTTGAATACTTATGATGGCACTCTGAATCCAGACGACCGTCTCAAAGACTTCGAGGCAATGCTCAACTTTCACAACAGCGGGGGTGCCATCAAGTGCAGGCTATTCCCCATGACTTTGAGGAAGACTTCTATGGACTGGTACAAAAACCTTCCCCCCAAGTCCATCACATCGTGGAAGAGTCTGAAAACCCAGTTCGTCGGCAGCTTCACGGCCTTACGGCGACACCTAAAGACAGAGGCATCTCTCGAGGCAATCACTTTAGGGAGCGACGAATCCCTCATGAATTACATCGAGCGGTTCAACCGTGAGGCCATCCAAGTCCACACGATTGACTGCATGAAGAGGTACCTATGCGAGAGAGGACTTTGCCAGGGCAGCAATTTCTGAAAGGCAATCGGCATCGAGAGCCCCAGATCGTTGGAAGAAATCCTCCAGAAAGACCAATCCTACATCACCTACGAGGAAAAAGAGGCCGCCAATAGTGTTCGTGATCTCAGAAACCGCGAAGGACCCAACGCCTCAAGGCACACGATGTCAAGTCATCTCGTCAAACAGGGGACACGAGAAAAGATGAGAGACCTTGTGACTCTCGCGAACACAAAAGCCCAAATGGGCGATTCACCGAGTACACCTCGCTAACTGCTCCCTGCGAGCGTATCCTTGCAAAGTGTGTCAACGCTGAGTTCAAGAATGGTGGGGTTTGACAGCCCAAACCTATATTTCTCAAGCCTGGGGTCGACAGTAGCAAATACTACCAGTACCATCGAAGCCATGGCCATGTCACTGAGGACTACGTCCACTAGAAGGACGCCATCAAGACTCTCATCAAATCAGGGAGGCTCGAGAAGTATAAGAAGAACGACGCCCCTCATCGCGATAACCGCGAAGTAAAAGAGGTTAAGGAGGAGGCACGACCCTTCGACGAGGTTGGTCCCCTCCAAATCGCTTTGTGCGTCTCACGGCCCAAGGATTTATATGTCTTCGACGACCTCGAGGATGATGAAACTTTGTTTACCCACAACAAATGGGAAAATTTCCCCTCCGCCATGGTCATATCCGGCGGGGGATTCAGCGGCTTCTCTGTGAACTCGACGAAGAGAAAGTTCAATGAGCTATTAGATGCAGCCCTAGTCCAGATCGTGACCCTCGATAGATTCCAGGGAAAACCCAATCCAATCACCTTCTACCTCGAGGAACTTCCAGGTGGAGCTCCCAACTCAAACATATATTTTCTCGTGAGAGCAAAGATGGCCAACTTCGACGTGCATCACATCCTGGTCGATGAGGGAAGTTCCGTCAATGTCATGTACACCCAGCTTTTCCAGACCCTCCAACTTGACATGACCCACTTGTCACCGTGCGTGTGGTCTGACCTGTAAGGCTTCAACAACTCAACCTCCAATCCATATGGTTATGTCGAGCTTCTCATCACGTTCAGAATATAAACTGCCGCCAGGCAGGTCAAGGTTCATTTCTTGGTGGTCGATTGCTCGTCTCTCTACAATTGCATCCCGGGAAGACCAACACTGGTTGAGCTGACCGTTGTGCCCTCCACGGTGCACTTGAAGATGAAGTTCTACACCAAGAGGGGTCGCGTCGCCACCATCCACGAAGACATTGAAGCATCCAAAAGATGTTTCAATGCGACCTTCAAGGGAAAGAACATGGTTGACACAAAGCCACAATTTGCCAACGCAGCAACCCCCTCAAAAGCAGCGATTTCCTTGGCAGACAAGCTTGCTCAAGATGAAGACCTGGAAGCTCCCCCAAATGTCAACTCCATTGAACTCGACACCCGCTTCACAAAATATGAAGTCGAAGTCCCCAATGGAGAACAAGACCCTCTTTGTCCCATCCCCGACAAAGACTTCAAAATCACCCCCCTCAGCGACGACCCAGCCATAGGCGTAAAGATTAGAGTTAGACTCTCCGATCTGGCGAAGAAGTAGCTCGAGGCCAATCTGAGGATGAACGATGATCTATTCGCTTGGAGCACTTTAGAAATGTCTAGACTCGACTCTGAGGTCGCCTGCCACCAGCTCACAGTAGATCTGGCTGCTAGGACGGTAGTTCAACATAGGCGTAGGCAGTCTCCCTAGAAAGTGGAGGCTGTTGAAAAAGTTGTAAAAGACACCCTAGAGGCAAATTTTATTTGAGGTCCGGTATTTAACCTGGATCTCCAACATGATACTTGTTAAGAAAAATAATGGAAAATGGCGTATGTGTGTTGATTATACTGATCTCAATCGGGCATATGTCTCAAAGATGCATATTCGTTACCTAATATTGACACGCTAGTCGACAACCTGGCCGACTATAAACTCTTATCATTTATGGATGCATATTCAAGTTATAATCAAATT